TCTTCATTCCTTCAGAGGACTATGCTTTCCAGCCCCAAGTTTAAACCATCTTTTAGAACACAGGGACAGCACCTTTCACCAGTTTCTCACCTCCAGCAAGCAAGTCACCTCCACCAAATAGCTACAGTATTTGCAACATAGCATAGTGTTTATTTAATATAATGTGTGATATTATTTATAAAAGATGTCTGTCCAAAGCTAGAATTTTTTTTTGGGGGGGGAGGTAAAGAAATTGACAACATATAAACAACTTCTAAAAGAAAGGAAAATCTAAATGTTAAAATATTTTTAAGAGTTAACAAAAGAGTTTCCATTGTATGCCTGCTTTCTGTTACAGGGTTAGGCCAAGGTAACTCTTCACACATCCCCTTTAAAGCTTTCACTTTGGCAAATAAAGCTTTTCCTAGGTGTCACTAGTAGCAAACTTTAGAATCAAGCCAACTGTGTCAGCGAAAATTCAAAATCTAATTCAGTGATAAGCAAAATTGCCCAAACAGCTAGCTAGTGTCTTATTAAACCCAATCAAAATTGAATAGGGCCCAGAATCCTACTAATGAAGGACTTCAAGAAAGAAACGAAAACCCATGAGTAAGTCAAATCGGTGTTGTTCCTTTTATCAAAGCGCTGCAAAGCTGACAAGCAGAATTAGCATTTAAAACTTTAATGTCTGATGATATAGGACGGTATTCTCAGCTGCTACTGAGTCTGTGCATCACAAGTTCAAAGCTTAGATGGGCTACTAGAGATAGTTCTCCGACAATTTAGAGATCTTGTCTCCAGAGAAAAAGGAAATAAAACAAAAATTTTAAAAAGTCAAAAATACCCTGGGGTTGCAGCCCAGTGGTGGGGAGCACAGCTGCTCAGCATGGCTTCAGCAGTCAGTGCTAGGCAGGGAACTGTATCTTAAATCCTGTAGACTCTTTTTCAGATATATGAGGAATTCAACTTTTAAAACGTAGTATTTAGGGCTGGAGTGATGGCTCAGCGGTTAAGAGCACTGACTGGTCTTCCTGAGGTCCTGAGTTCAATTCCCAGCAACCACATGGTAGATCACAACCATCCGTAATGGGATCCGATGCCCTCTTATGGTGAGTCCAAGACAGCTACAGTGTACTCATATATACGAAATAAATAAAATATTGCTGGGCAGTGGTGGCGCACACCTTTAATCCCAGCACTTGGGAGGCAGAGGCAGGTGGATTTCTGAGTTCGAGGCCAGCCTGGTCTACAGAGTGAGTTCAAGGACAGTCAAGGTACACAGAGAAACCCTGTCTCGAAAAACCTAAAGAAAAAAAAAGAAAAAAGAAAAAGAAAGTAGTATTATGGTACAATTATTTTAAAAATATTTATATGTATATAACTCGTGCATCATTGACAGACAAACTTTAAATTTCACTCTGGTGAGATTGCAAGCAGACAGAATACGTTATTTTGAGGCTAAGCGATATACTATAGGTAAAAGGCAGGCAAATGCTGGGTGGTAGCATCACTTTCTAAGTGCTTTTAACACTGATGTACCAACACAACTTCAAATACATAGCAAGTAGAGCAGGACAAAAGCAGGTACTCAGCTTGCTTGGCTCTTTATCATCAAGTAATTATTTTCTAATTTCCCGAGCATCCATGTACACTCGGTGCATTTAGCATCTATTAGAAGGAAAATGGTTTCTTCTGTTTTCCATCACCTGGCTCAGACTCTGTGCAAACCACACTCAGGAACCTCACATTAATAAATGATGACTCCAACCACACCGATTAGCAACCATTTCCTTCCCCTCGCTTCAGCATTTCTAACAGGAGCAGAATAATGCTGTTCCCAAAAGGCTGGGGCAGAAAAACCAGACAGAAAACCAGTGCTCACAAAGAGGTGAGTATCGTCTATCCTGCCTCCACTGTGCTTTTTGTTGAGTATATACCCCAGCCTTTTTCATACTCCATGGAAATTGCCAACTCTTGTCCAGTGCTGATGGTCCTGGTTTACAGGCCAAAGATAGAGCTATATCTTACCTAGCCCCCGTTCCCAGCAATAATCACTGGGTAACACAACAGACCCTCAATTAGTGTTTATTAAGGGTTGATGAAAACATGCCTGTCACAATTTAGGAACAGAAACCACATATGATTTTGTTTGTATTTAAACCTACATGGCTGTTTTTGAAGAATAGTTCTGTCAGTGTTATCAATGAGCCATCCACTGACCTGATGGTTTCGAGGTCAGTCTCTTGGACTCATCAGAAGCACTAAGACCAGAAAACTATCTATGTGGGATGCTTTGGTATCCACCATTTGTTATTTTCTCAGGGCATGCACTACGTGAACTCTGCACTACTGATTACAAAACATTGCACAACTTACAAAGAACACAAGGGATAACTGTTTTCTCCTATGCTTGGTGACCTTGGAAAGGGTGTCTGCCCTGAGAAAACAGAAGACTTAGTTGCAACTGACTTTTCAGTTGAGTATCTTAAGTTCTAGAGGTCAAGGAATGATAAAATTATACACTTATGAGATACCTCCTATGCTGCCCAAGACTGATTCACTGCCCCCTTAAAAATGATTTACATTGCTTAGTAATTACTTGAAAGCAAGACTTTGAAGACCTCCCCAGGAAAAGAGGCTCCATAAAGAAAGTTGCACAACTTCACACTTAAACCTGACTTTCCTTTAACAACCCATTAGGCCTGAAACCTTCTGTTCTGTATTCACAAAGTAAACTCACACTGCTGTAGCTATTCTCCAGGTCACACATCAGATGGTACTATTTTTGTACTAGTAATAAAATCCCTGAAGAACCATGAGATAGTGTTAAGACTATGATCCACTTTGTTCATCAAAGTAAAATAAGCAAAGATGAACCCATCTTGGGGAAAACTTCTAGATTACAGCTTTCAATAACATGTCACAATTGGTAATAGTAATTTCCAGGGCCTTTCTTATAGTATGTATTAAGAGTAGAAATAAATAGACCAAACTCGTATGACAAATGATGGGAGTTTTCTCCACAAAGCCACAATGTATTCACATTGTCATCTATGACAAATAATGAAGATGAACAGGGAAACCCATACTGCTGTACCTTTGCCAAGACTGGCACCCACATCCCACTAGTAGAGACTTGGGGTAAAAGAGTTCCTTGCGTGCCTAACTCAGCTGTAGAAGCCAACCTAAAACCCACAGAAGGGTTAATGGACAATGGCTGGTGTTTAACTGTCAAATAACCATGCATTTACTGTAATTCATGGTGAAATAATTAGAAGTGGTTAACATATAGGTTAACAACCAGTTATGCAGCAAAATTATGCATACCACTTTATTTTTTACTATTTTATTAATGACTTGACAGTAACTGTTGCTCACCACTTCACTCTATAATTCTTTTTTTATGTTCTAGTGCTCAATCGGAAATACACAAATGCTAAACATCTCATGGAATGATGCTGATGGACCAACTCCCTTGTGAAATCAAGGCCATTTGTTGCCTATTTATACAACAAATAAACTGGAACAAACCTTGAATTTCTTCTCCTACCACCAACTAATGACTCAAGCAGTAAGGGTGACCTTCAAATGCATACGCTATAGAAAAGCAAATGACAGCTCATATTGTGCTTGCCAGATACATGCAGTTTTTCCAACTGCACATTCTCCATCCCTAAGTGTCCAAAGCTAAAACCAAAACCTGACCCCAAGCAGCAAGTTACAATGTTCTGACATCATGACATCATTCTGTCTGGAGCACTTCAATATAACAAGTTGAAAAAATTGGCAGAAGCTTAAATAGGTCACACTGAAGCCCCAAACTAAGGCTATTTACCTGGTTAAAAAAAAAATACTCTGGTGCTGCATTTGATCCCAGTGGCCATCCAATGGGAGGCCCATGGTTTCATGGTTTAGCTATCTTACTTAGAGCCTCCATAAGAACACACGAAAATAAAGCAAACAGTGTCACCTCCCAGAATTGTTACTTCTACTCAGTGGCTCATTTGAAGCCAATTTTGTCTTTAATAGCAAACCAAAGCCAAGCTAAATGACACCATATGACTTCAAACAAGCCTCTGCTCATCCTTAAAAAGGAACATTTTTGTAAATGTCTCAAACTCAACAAGCATAGCCCAACTTCTTCAACATCATAAAGTATGAATTTGTGCCGAGAAGTAAGCCAACACATCTGTGTCACAAGCCTCCTCAAACTGCTAGCTTTCCAGCAGAGCCCTGGGAGGTGCACACACTGCCCTTTTAACTGGACTTTTCTGAGAACTGCCATCCAGTTTGGTTTCTTCTTGTGAAACTAGAGCTCATCTGAAAGCAACAAGCAAAAAAACCACAGAACTTTCTGACACTCTCAGCCCCACAGCCTCCAGCACACACTTTCCTTTCTCAATAAACAACGGACAACCAAAAAGGTTCCCTGTTTCAAAACGGAATCACAGAGGAAGGAAACTGCAAGGATGCCCTGAACAACAGTGAAGACAAACAACAACCCCCAAAAACATATTCTTTACGAAGATGAGTTGACACAGATAAAAACTAAAACTCTTAAATACTGCTCCCTCACTGAAGCCCTGGTTCTCTCCCCAGTGAGTGTTTCAACATCACCCATGCGCTTGTCCTAAGTGTGCTCCAGCGGAGACTATTGTTCATTTGTTAGCCTTCTGTTTTCTAGTAGCAAGGCAACTCCACAGAAGAGCAAACAAACTTCCAATCCATACGTAACCATGGTAGCTGGATAGCCAAAAGTAGCCAAGGGTAGAAACTCTATATATTGGAGCAATATCCAGGGGCTCTGGAACTTGAAAAGCAAGACATTAAGTTAAAGGAACAACAACAAAAAAATCTTGGCTCTGAATCCAACTTTTGCAAACACAGAGTTGAAATAAAAAATGGCCCAACACAAATTCATAGATCAACATCATAATAGTGATTATTAACCATATGGATACATAGAACTGGAGGAAAGCACATTCAGGGCGATAAGAGTCATGTACACACACTGAACTTACCACTTTGTCCATGAGTTTCCAAGTCTTCTCCACAGTCCTGCGGTCAGCCGCAGCTTGCTTTGGGGGGCCAACTGCATCCTGAATAGCATCAATAATCCCCAAAATTCGACCTTTGCGGGGGTTTCCTCCTCGACCACCAGGATTTCTGCCATTCATAGAATTTGCCATCTGGAATCTTAGTCCTTTTTGCAAGGTAGATTTTAAAGAGAGGAAAAGTTAGCTGGATATGAAAGTATTTCCCCAACAGGAAACTGAACTGAACTGGCTCACTTGTATCCATTTAATGATACTCTCCTCCGCCATCACTGTGACAAAGCAGAGGGTCCCAGATTCAACTTTTTAGTAACCTCGAGTAACTGCATTCTCCAAGTTAGGATCTATGACACAGGTTTGCTCTTACAATAATAGAAGTTAAAGATGTGTTCCTTGCAGCCACAGCTCAAAGTCATCAACAAAACAACTTTTAACAGATAAGAACACAATGTTCTCCCCCTTCTGTTGTAAACCAGATTCAAAGTACTAGAGCTGCAACCCCTAAAATTCCTGTTGGGAGCTTCACTCAGAAGCCTCCTTCATGCTGTTAGATTTCGCCAAGTTATTACATAAATGCAAACTATTCCACACATGCATAAGGGACACGTCTGTTGTCAACAAAGGCGGAGGACTTGCATCCCCCCCCCAGCTCACCCCCCCCCCGGGCAAAAGCCAGCAGCTGTGGACACACGGACAAATAGTCCTTTAAAGCAATGCGGTGAGTAGTTTTTCCCTAGAGCCAAATAAACAAACCAACAAGCAACCCCTTCTTAAAAAGCGGTGAGAAGCCGGCAAGGGCGGGCAAGCACCGCGGAGTTCACTTCTCGGGTGGCCCTCGTCTGCCTACCCGGTATCGAGTGGTCCAAAGCTTTGTTTCAGAACGCCTGTGCCCTTTCCAGGCTCGGGCCTCTAGCCCGTCACTCAGGGGTCTGGGAAAGGGACGAGGAACTCAGCAAGGTTAAAGTAGCCCTAGACCCCGTCCTGGCTCCGGAATCCCACAGCCCGTCCGATATCGCGCCAGTAGCACGCACTTCCCACCAGCAGCGACCAGCCAGAGTTCGCTCCCTCCCGGGCCCCGGGCCAGCCAGGGACTGCTGTTTAAATCCCCACTTGGCTCAGGCCCACAGTGGCGACAGCAGCTAGAAGCCAGGGCTGTCCCCTCTCCCTGTTGGCCCGCGCCCAGCTGCAGGGACCCCGGGCCAGCAAGCGGCGTCCAACCCCGGGATGACCCATTCCTTCCTCTACTCGGGTCATTGCGGCCGTCCCGAGCCACGCGTGATCGCGTGTCCCACTCCACACACACGCTGCCCTAGCTGGGGTGGCTCGGGTGGGGGACTCTGGGATCGCCCTAAGAGCGCTCTCAGGGGAAAGAGCCACGGAGATCTAGGGACATCGAGACGCGGGGACGCGGCAATTACCGTGCAGACAGCTCCACGCCCGCCCGGCAGTCCCGCGCCACACTCGGGAGGCCGCCGCAGCGCCCGCCGGAGGAGGAGACCACTCACTGGCCACCCCACCCCTGAGCCATCCCCAGAGACCAAGGCGTGAGGCGGAGCTAAGGCGGGGCCTTGAGTCTCCGGACCAATTCTGAGAGCCTGCTTTCTGCCAGACAGCGGGCGGAGCCAATGGGCGGGACGAGACGCTCCTCCCGCGCTACCCCCAAGTCCACGTCCTCCACGGTACACAATGGCCCCAGAGGAAGGCCCACTCGTCCGCGTCCCACTTGGAGAAGAACTCGTTGGGAAATGGACCTAGGCTACCCTGGAACAAAAGTGAAACGAGGAAAGGAACTGAAAAAGTAGCGGCAAGGAGCAGGGGAGCTAACCAATGAGGGGGTGCGCAGGTGGGCGTGAGCGCCCCGAGCGGGAGTCTAAGCCAACTGGGGCTAAAAGGCGGGACTTCCTGCCTCACTCACCTTCCTAGTCTTTGTTTCATAGCAACAGAGTAGAGGCTGCCAGGGTGGTGCTGCTTCTCGGCTCTGGGCGGGTCCCGGGCTTAAGAAATTCATCTCCCTAGGGCTGCCAAACTGCTACCCAGGAGAGCAGCCAAATAGGTCCAAGACCGTGTTTCTTGTTGACTGTCAAATAAAGAGCAACAGTCCCCTAGCTTCTAAGATGAAGGGTACCCTGACACAGAGTAGGCTAAGAGTAAAACCCGACTGCCAACTAAAACTTCCTAAATTTCTGAAATGTTTCCCTTTTACTATTAGTTCTAGAGGGATTCCAGATCAAACATCAGGCTGATGAGAAAGCAAATACTTAACAACTCCAGCTAAATAGTCTCTGTAAATCGTGCCAGGACAGTAAAAACTCCTCACAGTGGGGATTGCTAATCGTTTTACACCTTTATATTCCCAACAAGTTTCTCCATAGATCTTGGTAAAGAACTCAGCTGTCGAACTTTTGCCAGAGTCACTTTTCTTCTGTGTAGATGAGTCTTCATTTTAATGACAACCTTATATCTGTCATCTTCTTCCAGGGTTCATCTCTTTCTAGACCCCATCCTTGATATACATGCATATATACATACAACATACATACATACAAACATACATACTACATACATGCAAGCGCTTTCTAACCAACTATCCTGATGAATGTGTCTCAGTGGTTCTGACCATTTCCTAATAAGTATTTTAGTGCTACAATTATTACTGTGAAGGCTCCTGAGTTGTCATAGAATGTCCTGCAATCCTAAATTGAGATAGTTAAGATCTTCATGTAATGAAAACATCCCAAATGTGGCCCTTTAAGCAGTCAGGAAGTAAAATATAAATCAGGAGGAATTATTTCCTTTCATTATTCTGTACTAATAATTTAAAAGTAGTTTCCTGTTTTATATATGTACGTGGTTGAGCCCTCTCCATATCGCTGCTTACCTTCATATTTTGATAAATGTAAAATGAACGAAATACATATTCAATTCCTTTCTAATTGCAGTTTGTAACTGAAGGCCATGACAGTAAGAAAATAGCTTGGGCTGTGAAGCAAAGAATGTCATGTAGATTCAGTGACAAGCCTCGTTCTCTTCTGTTCCTCTGTTCTGGCTGGGGCACAGGTATAACAAATTCATGTCTCCAGGGCTGCCAACCTTTTTGAACCAGAGCAACTGAAAACCGCTCTAAGATAGTGTTTATTGTAGGCTGACAGCAAATAAAAATCTGCCATTATGTTAGTTGGGGTTCTCTAAAGAAACAGAAGTGATACAATATGATATATATGTGTATATTATAATATATAACATATATATGTAATATTATAATATATATACATATATATATATATATATATATATATATATATATATGTAAAAGGGTTGTTTATTAGACTGATCCACATTCCACATGATATGGTCTAGGGAGTCAGACAAATTCTGTCTCACACTCAGAAGCTGAGAATCCAAGAGTTTCTCAGCCCACAAGGCTGATGTCTCAATAATCCCAATCTGGTGCTAAAGGCCTGCACAGTTCCTGGAGAACTGCCGGTTTGCAATCCAAGTTAGAAAATGGAGGAAGCTGGTTCTGATGTGAGAAGAGAGGTGCTGTAGCAAAAGACCCACCAATAAGAATAAAGGCCAATAGGCAAAAGGCAGAGTTTTTTACAGCCTACACATATGGTGGTCTTCCCACTTCAAATAATCTAATGAGAAACATACCTCACAGGATGGAGCGATGGCTCAGCTGTTTAGAGCATTTGTTCTTGCAGAGGATTTTGATTAAGTTCTAGGCACTCACGTGGTAGCTTGCAACTATCCATATCTACAATTATAGGATATCTAATGTCTTCTTCTAACCTCTGTGGGCACAAAGTGTGCGTGTGGTACACATACACTCATGCAGCACAATATTCATACACACCAAATAAATCTTCAAAGTAATTCATTATAGGAGTGTCCAGCAGCTTGCATTTTAATCATAGAAGATAAGATCAAGTTAGTTGACAACCAACATTGGCCATCACAGTCATCAAGCTAACCAAACTGAACATAGATGCACACACCACACACACACACACACACGCACACACTCACACTCATGTACTCATACATTGATATGTATGAATTCTATTTATCAAAGCCATCCCATGTCTAATTAAGATATAACAGGTACCCTAGCTGAGCTCAAATTAGGACTTGGTGTTCGGTGAAGTCAGACTAAGTGGTAGGTCACCAGTCCTCTTTTCATTCCTCTGCTAGCAGGAGGAATGAAAACTGCTGGGGAAAAAATGAAGCATGAAAATACTCCCCAATCAAAGACTGCATTCATAAATAAAGGTACAAATGTTGTATCTAAGCAGTAATACTCCAAGCTAACAGATTTGGCTGAGGAAATAGTATGCTCATTTTACCAAACAAGGCAGTCCCTAGCCCCATACATTTTAAAGTGAATGTAATGTCACTGAAGGACATGAGAAACAGGGGGGTTCCTAGCTAAAAGGTCTTGCCAGTATCAGAGTGGCCAAATAAGGGAATGATGATACAGCTAAACTTGCTCTTTTGGCTTGCTTTCCTATCACTGTGATAAAGACCATGAGCAAAACCAACATGGGAGTGGAAGGGTTTGTTTGATTTACATGCCCAAACTGCAGTCTATCTTTGAAAGAAGCCAAGGCAGGGGCCATGGAAGAAATCTGCTCTGGATGATTCTCAGTGCTTGTTTAATATGCTTCCTTATACCACCCAGGACCTGCTGGTGACACTACCGCTAGTAGTCTGGTCCCTCCTACATCAATGATTAAACAAGAAAATATCCTCACAGACTTGCCTACAGACAATCTGATACAGGCAATCCTTCAGTTAAAAATCTCTCTTTCCAAGTGACTTGAGCTTGTGTCAAGTTGACAAGAAAGAAAGAAAGAAAGAAAGAAAGAAAGAAAGAAAGAAAGAAAGAAAGAAAGAAAGAGAGAGAGAAAGAGAGAAAGAAAGGGAAAGGAAAGAAAAAAGAAAAGAGAATAGAAAAGAAAAGAAAAGAAAAGAAAAAGAAATAAAAATCTAACCAGCATGCTGGCCAAAAAAAAAAAAAAATAGCAAAAAGAACATGTGAGGCTGAGGCTTCAAGCAAGAGACTTTATGGCAGGCTCATTTTTAGAAACTTTAGAGACAGTGATGAACACTTTCAATGTTAGCGTTGATTATTTAGTGTTAGCATATGCTAATAGGTTGGTGTCAATGGAAAATCACAGATTATACGACTGCCTTTAAGTATAGCTAATGTTTAAAGGAGAAAAAAAGATAGCTGTCTAAGGAAAATATTCCGCTTTCTTTTCTTTTTCTAATCCATCATAGTCACAAGTGATCTCTATAACATCAGACAGATTGAGTTGACTAACCAACTGAACATCCATAATATATTTAACAGAATTTTAGTTTAAAAAAAGAAGTCTACTAACTGAGTGGGCCACTTAAGGAAGCACATGACAAATGTATTTTTACACAACAGAAAAATAATTTAATTCAAAATTCCAGCAAGGTGTTCTTAATTGACCTGCAAAACATTCAGAGTGTATTTACAGTGAATATCCTGACCTGAAATCAGAATACCATAAAAAATATGCTAATCTTAGAGAGAGAACAGGAACATAAAATCACAACTAGAAACAAGCATCATATGGCGTAGTTATGTTTGGGCTTAACAAGCCATTGCTTGCTGAGAAGAGTGCATTTCTGTTCCTTCTTTAACACATAGCAACAACTGACAGAGAAGGATGCAGATTAACGGAGTGATCAAATATAGCCTGACTCTGAGTCCTAATTTGGCATTAATTACAATGCTTACTGAGCAACAAGAACAAGACAAGTAACAACTTAAACAAGATACAACCTTACTTCTGAAGCACAGATTCAGAAAGTAGAAAATCCAAGTAAACTGTTGCTCTACTGTTTTCTCCAAGGTCTGTGTTTCCCTCATATAGTCCTAGTACGTGGCTTCTGTCCCCAGTTACTTTATATGTTTTTAGGTAGATACACTCCAGCCATTATCACCAATTCTCAAGCTAGGAATGAAAGTGAGAATCGGGGACAAACTGAACATCCATTAGGATCAATTTCTTTTAAACCATCATTACAGAATACCACAAATATATCTCATAAGTGTCTCAAGGCCAGAACTTAGCTGCAAAAATTTGAAAGGCACTGTGCTAAGCAAGAAAGCCAACAAGAAAAAAAATCAGGTTTCTTTCCATTTTCCACTTTGTTCCAACTTTACATTCTTTTCTGCTTCACTGCACCTCTGTGTTTCACTGTGCATTCTCCATGCTTCCCTGATAACAGGTACGCATTCACAAAGGCCTAGAGATAAGCCTATACCTCAACATTTTCAGTAAAGAAATTAATATCTGAAAATTTTTGCTTTAACGTTTTCTCTGCCACTGTTATACATTTGATTGTAAAAAAATATATAAAAATATAACATTGAATTTTCCCATTTAATTTAATATATTGATTAAGAGCTTCTAAAAGGGGAAGGGGATCTTGGAGAGGATCAGTTTGCTCA